GGTCTCGTCCCCACTCTCTGCCTTCCTTCAGCCCACTGCACTCCTCTCCACCCCAGGCTTTCCTTGAGTCAGCCTCTGTGTTCCAGGATTTTAGGAACCCAACCCCACTACCCCACCCCACCCCACCCCACCCCACCCCACCCCTGCAGCATTTTCCATTTCCTTCCCTCTATGGATTGTAATGACTTGTTTATTTTCCTTCATCTGCTGTCCGTCTTGTGTCTACCGAGTCTGACGAGAGCCTCCAGGGCTGTAGCGCAGGGCTGCTTTGCTGCCTCACACCACACGGGTATGAGCCCAGCTCTGTTGCTCACTGACGAGCTTCATGCACTTGGCAAGTGTCTGCTCATCTGCGAGAATGGAACAGTAGCAACCACAGGGCAGAACGCAGGCGGGAACACAGGGGGCACGTAGAACAGAAGCTGCCACGTGGTCATGCCCCAGAATCATCCCTATCTCCTCTACGGAGGTAGTGGAAACCACAGATACTCTCATGGAATCTTTTGTTTTTAATCCCTTCTCTAGTTCCTAGAACACGGTTACTTCAAGGTCCTTAAATATTTGTTGAATACATAATGAAGAACAGATAGGACGGGCAGAAACTGTGGGTCACTTCCATGGATCCTACAAGTTAATGTGCATGGCCGACTGCTCCTGGCACGAAAGCCTATTTTGCCAAGAGGGAGAGAATATTTGCCTTAAAATCAATTTCTCCAATAGTACAGGAAGGCATTTTCTCTCCACTAAAGCCGTGTGTAAACTGACACAAGCCTCATCTGAGGGTGAGGACACTAGTACCACGCTTCTGGCTCTCGGGGCTTTTTACCAGTCCCTGAGTAACACGTGCTCATGTTAATCATAAAAATAAAGCACATGAGATAACACGGCTCTTCAAAGCACTAGATGGGAGCATCTGAACCCCTGCCTGGACAATGATTGGCATTTTGAATTCTCTCGAATGCATTTCCAAGCTTATCTAATGCTGCTTTTATTTCTCTGGAGATTTAAATGGGTCTGAAGCCTTGTGGACCAAAAGAATCTAAGAAGCAAGTTATTTATTACCCACCCTCCATCTTTCTCTTTCATTAGAGACAGGGTCTCATGTACCCCAGCCACCATTAAACTCACTATGTTATCAAGGAGGATGATCTTGAACTTCTGACCTGCTGTCTCTACCTCCTGAATGCATAGCACCAAGCACAGTTTCTATGGTGCTGAGGACTGAACCCAGGGCTCTGTGTGTTAGGCAAACATTCTACCAACTGATCTAGCCCCTATGAAGCAATTTAGAAGATAATGGGAGCCAGGCAGTGGTGGCGCACACCTTTAATCCCTGCACTCAGGAGGCAGATGACCATGAGAACACTTGAGGCCCTCCTCTCCCTACCTTGACTGTCCAGTCTCATGTCTGCCAGCAGCCATGGGTGGTTATGTTTAGTTTTTTCCCCATCTTAAACCAAACCAAAACGGCCCTTCATCCCTCCCCGTTTCCTGCATGTGTCCACACTGTGTGACGAGGAGAATGCCCTGCTTGCTCTTCCGTTTACTGTAGCATGGCCTTGCCCCACTAATCCAATACCCCAGACTGTGCAAATGACCTCAGTCCCACCACATCCACTGTCCTGTTTTTACCTCTCCCCTTGCTGGACAGTCTGCAGTCTGGAGCCCTGTTGATCAAGACCTCTCTCAGCCTCCCACCCACACTTCCTCATTCTTCTTCCCCTAATGTCAATAAGAAGGGTGTAGCTTTCCACACCTTTCTGCTACATGGGCACGTAAGTGTATCTATAACTCACAGGCGTGTAGATTTATATGTTTGCTTTGCTTTAAGAACTGGTCACATTAACTTTATGATTTTTTTTTTGAGACAAGGTATTGCTATGTAGCCCATGTTGTCTTTGAACTCAACATCTCCCTGCCTCAGCTTCCTTCCGGAGGGCTAGCACCACCACACCCTGCTGTGTTTACCCTCCTCACTGTGTTCCCCAGATGGTCTGTAAGTCAGAAGACATATTGCTAGCTCTGTAATTTTTAATTTTTAGTTATAAATGGGTAGATATTCAACATAATTGAGTTTTCCACAATTAGACGGACAGTTGCATTTTTAGACATTAGGAAGAAAAACTAGATTTTGCATCTGAGCCCCCTCTTAAGGGCTTGCAGTGAGGCAGAATGCTGGGAACGCAGACTTCTGCTCAGTGGAAGGCAAGGGCAGCGTAACTCAGGTGGGGCCCCGGGCACTCTGCAGAGCCACGCACTGTGCAGCTGCCTAAAACAGTGCAGGTGACTCGAGCCTTCACTGGGTCCAAATATCAAATTAAAACCCTCTAGCGCTGCCATGTGAGACCCGACCCTGACGTCTGGCAGTACTTCTGTCTCCTGCGGGGCGGTCCCTGTGAAAGGCGACCCCAGCACTGTCGCTCAAGTAGTTCTTGACATCTAACTTGAGCAGCTGCCATTTTAATCAACAGTTAGAAAAGTAATGCCTGGCCTTGGTGCAAGCAGACGCAGCAGACTGTGCCCAGCCGTCCACTGAGAGGGTCACGGAGACGGAAGCCCAGGACCTGCTGCTTCCTCCAGTTGTCAGTATCACTTCTGACCCTGTCCTTTCATTGTTCTACAAAACCTCTTTTAGGAAACTTCTGAGAAGCCTAGTTACTGTGACAAATGTTTTCAAATCCACCCTTAGCCCTGGTTGGTTTTCGTCAACTTGACACAAACTAGAGTTATCTTCAAAAAGGAGCCTCAACTGGGAAGATGCTTCCCTCAGCTTGGCCTGCAGGCAAGTCCGGAACAGTTCTGATTGATGACTGAAGTGGAAGGGTCCAGCCCAGTGTGAGTGGTGCTGTCTCTGGGCAGGTGGTCCCAGAGTGGAAAAACAAACTGAGCAAGCCATGAGGAGCAAGCCAGCAGGCAGCACTCCTCCATGGCTTCTGCATCAGCTCCTGCCTCCAGAATCCTGCTTAGATTCCTATCCTGACATCCTTGATCACACACTGTGATGTGGAAGCATAAACCAGATGAGCCCTCTCCCCCACAGGTTGCGTTTGATTTCCATTTGTCACAGCAGCAGAAGGCCTGACTTAAGACACGGCTGTGGAGAAGCAGCAAATCCAGAGAGCTCAGTCCATGTGTGTTCTGTGGCTGACTACTGCCCTGCCACAGGGAAATGTGCACAAGCTGAATCCCCATGACTAACCAGCACACTTGGACCCAGTGAATTCTTATTACAACAGAAAACGAAAGGATTAGTGGCAAAACAATTGAACAAACCAAGCATGGTGACCATTCCAGCACTTGGGAAGCCGAGGCAAGAGGAGACAAGATCAAGGCCAGCCTTGACTACAGCATAAGACTCTGGTCTCCAAACAATATAAAACAAATCATCAAAAAACCAGAGAAACCCCAAAGTCCCCAAAGATGACACAGGAAGAGGAAGAGCAGAACTTGAGGAGCCTTTTTTGGGTACGGTGACAGAAAGTTAATGGGATGAAATGCATAACTCCGAACTACTCAAGCACAAAGGCAGTGCCTTACCGCGGGTGCCAGCGGCTGGGCTCTACCCCTGGGTGGCAGCAACAGCCTTGAATGCAGGTGCCTACGTTTGTTTAGTTTCCAGAGAAGAACGAATTTTATGCTTTTAAATATTTGAAAAAATTAAATGACATGAAAATTATATAGTCTTCTAACTTTTAGTGTCAACAAATAGTTTTGAGGGAATACAGCAGGTTTCCCAGCAGCCACTGTGTGTTAAAGGGCAGAATTGGGTGGTTCAAACTGAGACCATGTGGCCTTCCCAGGTTGACCACACTGACAACCTTCCCCTTTACAGAAAGTCTGCTGACTCTGCTAAGTTTTACCACAGCAGCTTTCCTTGTGGCAGGGCTGGTCTCTGTCCCCTACGGAGAGGATGGTGGCTAGATCTGGGGCTCCCTTGCCCCATCAGGCAGGAGAAGCAAGAGTGTCCACTGGCGCCACCTGCAGCCCAGAAAAGTAATGGCAGACAGGGAACGGGGCTGTTGGGGAAGTTAGTTACCAGGCAGATCCTAAATTAACCATGGCCTCACTGATGCCTCTGGGGAACACAGATTTGGCTTTTATCAAACACTCTTTAAACTGACAGAGCAGAACCAAGACTACAAGTCCATCTTCCCACATCCATGTATGGGGCAGATGCTCCCCAAAGAGAAGATGCTCTTAGTGTTCACATCTGTACTAACTGCTCCCCATGCACAGAACGAAGAAAAGTCATGTTGTCACCACAAAAAACGATAGGATAACATGTCTGTCCTTTCCAGGTCTGAAGGGAAAGCCACACAGAAGTTTATCATCTCAGTTGCCGCCTGAAGCCTCCAAGTTATTGTCCTCTACAACAACTCACCAAAACCCTGAGGACCAGGGGCCAGATTTGTCACAGCCAGCAAACCTACACCAAAAGAATGAAAACGGGACAGTAAAGTGGTTGGTTCTGCCCGCTCCAAACCAAACCAGGACCCCTTGTCCAGAGCATCTCATCATGAGCCAAGGAGACAGGTAGGGCTCACAGCCCTTCAGAGCAAAAACTCACAGAGAAGAACTACTGTCTCCACCTTCTCCTAGAAGCCGGAGGAGGTGCGATGCACACCTGTGAGGGGCGCAGGTGTCATGGGGTCTGAACTGGGCTTAGGTGTATGTTGAGTCAAATGCCGCAGGAGTACTGTCCTGAGACTTCGGAGCCCAGAGAGGATGGGAACTTTGGCTCCTTCCCTCTGGGAGCCCAGCTTCTGACCCATCCAAGTCCAGGCTGGAGCCCTGGAGAGGGGTTGTGGAGGATGAGGACAGCCACATGAGACCTCATGTGAGGGTACAGAACCACCCCACACCGAGTCTCCACTAACCCCAGAACTGCAAGGAAAGGCACAGGGAAGGAGACTCCACTTCTGCCTAGGTGTTTGAGACACAGAGGGACACTGAGGAGGATGGCAGAGCTTTCTGTGTTGTCCCAAGAGCCTTCAACTTACTTCATCATCTTCATCTTCATCATCATCGGATTCAAGAACACCATCCAGTAAATCTTCTAAAAAGAAAAAAATTCATCAGAGAAACCGTAAGGTTTGGCCCTCGGTCACTGAATGTCAACCAGTGCACTCAGTGAGCATCACAGAGAGAGCCATGCTGCTGACCACAAGCCCAACACCCTGCCTGCCAGCTTCTGAGCATGACCTTGAGCAGCCCTGAGCGCTCCCTCCTGATCATCACTACACCCATTGACTCTCCGCCACTGCTAACCACAACTGTTTCAGTCACAGTTTGCTATCATTCTTAGCAACTTCAAACACTCTGTTTTTATCGGAACATATTTCTCCTTACTCTTACGAACACAAAACTGGCATCGAGCAGAGGCACAGAGGAACCTGCTGCGGTTCCACTTCCTAAGCCCTTTGCTCTAACTTGAAGACGTAGGTTTGGGAAAGGAGCTGACCTGAGGTTACCCTTCAGATGAGCATAATGGGGGCCAGGAGGGGGACATACAGAGACCGACTGACCATAGGGGTCTTGACCAGGCCTTGAAGGAGGAGATTAGGAGAGAGAGCACTTATACTAGAGATGCCATGATGGGGAGAGAAGAGCCCTCCCTTCAAAACTGGGGAGGAGCTGCATTAGGAGAGACTGCTGCCGGGCACAGCCTGACTGGGCCTGAAGGGAAGAACTTTCAAAATCCCCTCAACAAGGAGGGTTTCTGATTCAGAGCTTCTGGGGGAGGGGGAGGGCCGGAAGTGCCACACCCTGTGACTTCTGGCCGAGCCTGCGAGCAAAGGGGAACCGGGGCATTAGCACTAGGCAGAAGCGTATATTCACCACGCAGCCACAAGGGAGTGGGACTGGGCTTGTCTTTCCCACCAAGGCTGTGTGCTTTGAACAGCCAGAGCAGGGGCCTGTCAGTTCTTTGTTGGGGGTGGGAGGACACAGCCTGATTTCTTCCAAGCTGCCTCATCTGGTCTCTTAGAATAGACAAGCCTAAAGTGGCCGGTCTATGCTATAACACCCACGACTTTTCCACAGGGCGGGGGCAGGGGTGCTAGCAGCTCCCAAGTTCTTGAAGGCTGAGACTCATCATTACAGTTTACGCAGATGCACAAGTCCACAGTACTCGGAATCTGAGAAGGAGCCATTTCCTCACCTAACAAATGGGGATCATACTGCTTACTTCCTAGGGGCCTGGGAAAGGAGGGAAGGGAAGAGCTGGGAGGCTTTTACAGCACACCAGAACTAAGGGGTCTGGACCAGGTACATAGCACACAACATGAGTGACTTTCTCCTCCAAGCAGCCTTCAGTGAGCCCTCCTCTGTCTCTCAGCATCGTGTCTCGACTCCCAACAGCACTGGCCCTTGTGGAAAACCCCAGTTCCCAGGGGTGGACGGTTACCGACTTGCCAGAAGACCCCTGTGAGGGTTGACTGCCAACCCGACTGAACTAAGGGATGCTGCTTCGATTAGTAAAGCTCACTTCTGGGTGTGGCTCTTAAGACTGAGGGTTAATCTTGATTGTCACTCTGATGAAAGTTAACATCGCCATAGGAACAAACCTCTGGGCAGGTCTGGGAGGGAGTGTCTAGATGGAATAGGTGGAGAGGCGACACTTTAGATGTGGGCAGTCCTATTTCACAGGCCGAATTTCTGAGTGAAAAAGAGAAAGCGAGCTGGGTGTGATGGCACACACCTTTAATCCCAGCACTCAGGAGGCAGAGGCAGGTGGGTCTCTGTGAGTTCCAGGCCAGCCTGGGCTACAAAGCCGACAGCTAGGGCTGTTATACAGAAGAAAGAGAAAGAGAGTGTGGGTTGAGCACCGGCCCTCCTCTCCAGTCTTCACCTCAGCCCTCCTGGCTGTAGACGCAATGGGGCAGCTCCCGCAAGCCCGTGCTGCTGTGATGGACGGTCCTTCACACTACGAGCCAAGAGACCCCTCCCTCCTCACGTGCTTCCGTCAGGTAGCTCACCACAGCAACACAAACTAACTAACAAGGACACTGACATGATTGGCAGTTAAGACAGAAACTGAGTGGGAGGACCTGCCCTGAACATGGTGGCCCCATTCAATAGGTTGGGGACCCAGGCAGGGTCAGAGTGAGTGAAAGCCAGCCATGTGTGCAAACTCCATTCTTCTACAGCAAAGGCGTCTAGGCTGCTCTAGCCTCTTCAGCCTTTCGGTGTGGACGCCCAGCAACAGCTCCAGGAAGCTTTCAGGCCTTTAGCCTTGGATTGCGGTCTTCTTGTTCTGAGCAGGATTCCAGATTCTTGGACTGAGCAACTCCCAGGTTCTCTGCTTCTATAGCAGGTGGACAATCACTGCAGGACAATTCAGCCTCCAATTGTGCAAGCCAAGCTAACAAATCTTCTTTTGTAACACGCACGCACGCACACACACAACACACACACACACACGCGCGCGCGCGCGCGCGCACACACACACACACACACACACACACACACACACACACACACACACACTTCCCATTGGTTCTGTTCCTTGAGAGAACCCTAGGAGATCTTTTCCCATTCACTCTTCTGGATCGTAACTCCCTGAAGGCAGAGGACTTAACTAACTTCTCCCTACGTCCCTACTACATCTTCTTCATTAGATTTTTATTCCTTGAAAGCAAGACATGAAGGTCAAGAAAGCCTGGGAGAAGAAAGAAATGCAAGAAAGAAGGAACTAAGACCACACTTGAAGAGACTGCCGGCCACCGAGAAAGGGGGCAGACAAACAAACTATATGAAGCAAGCAGCCATGCTGACACCACCTTATTCTAAGGGAAGGTCGATGCTGACTTTCCCGGTCCAGAGCCAGCGGGACACAGAAGCTCGTCCCTTCCCTGGGTCTTCCACAGCTGCACCCGCCTGACCTGCACCCTGGTCTCGATGCTGGCTGTCCAGACAGTGCTTTGCTCTGCATTTGCCTGTGCTTTAATCATCTAACTCTCTCTGCTCCTGGACAGCACACTCCAGTCCACGATGAGGAAATGCCTTTCAAAATGGCGCTACCGCTATGTCACCAATTACACACTCCTTATGTTCACATGTGTTAAGGCCCCACAGTTAGACACTCTTTGACTCCCCAGTCCAGTTCCCAATCCTCAACCCTATAATCTCTTAACTTGTTGGCTCAGACATCCTTACTTGCCAGAACCCTCCAGGCCTATGAGCTGGAGTCCCTACAGGCCTCAGTTCTCCTCCTGGGACAACCATGTCCTCACGGCTTCTGAGCTGGTGCATGCCTTAAAAGGGCACTCCCTTGGTAACTAACACAACCTGAAGTTGGGGTCCTGCTCTGCCTTGCTCCTGCCCAGTATATCGGCTGACCTTTCTCTAAGACCAGCTAGTATCCACTGGCTACCCTCATGGACAGCTGGAGTTGTGGCCTGGGCCTCAGCCAGGGGACAAACCTTCCTTCTGTTGTTGGCTGCACAGTCTGCAGGTTTCTGTGCCAGGCTGAAATTTTCCGTTAGGATTCTCCATGCCCCACCTTGCTGGGACAACCTGAGGATGTCAGAGCTTTCCCACCTTGCTGGGACAACCTAAGGATGTCAGAGCTTCCCCTCCCCCAGGACTATGATTTTGTTAACATGGACACAGTCCAGACTGGGAGCCGGAGTGGCTACATGTAGGCATTTCCCTTTTTTGTTGTGTGCTGAATAGAACTGCACACTTGGATTGCTGGTGCCAGGGAAGGCAGGAGACAGGCGATAAACTGGTCCTCGATGCTGGCAGCATCAGGGCCCCTGTGTCAAGAGTCCACAGACAGAGAAAGGGGCTTCCCTATCCCTCACACAAGGCTTCTCTGCTTCTCTTGCCAGATGTGTATCATGGCATTGGAGGAGGCTGGAAAGAAGGGGACCATGCGGCCTCCTCCCTGCTGCCAGGTGGCACCTGCACATTTTCTGGAATGGTGACATGGTGGCATTTCTACATGGTTCTAGAAAGACTAGCATCTGTTCCACTAACTGGCCGTAGGACCTGGGAACGTTGCCCTTATCAGTGGGGCAGGATTTAAGAGGGGACAGGAGGGGCTCGTAAAGAGATCTTACAAGTAAAGAGAAGGTTTCAGGAATTGCTCTGACCTCCCTTTTGTTGACCACACACCTCTAGTGTGATAAGAGATCTCTACTGTGATAAGAGGTGTTAATATGGACAATCTGACCTTGACTACCTGGCTAAACTTGTGGGGAAGGGTGTACACACACATGTATGTATGTATGTGTGTGAATGTGGAGGCCAGGGGTCAACCCTTCATGTCATTCCACAGGAGCTGTCCATCTTGTCTGTTGAGACACTGTCTCTCTTTGGGACCCAGGTTAGGCTGACTGGCCAGGGAGCCTCAGGGATCTGCCTGGTTCCAGCTCTCCAGTTCTAGGATTACAAGTGCGTGTCACCATGCCTGGCTTTTTTTACACGGGTGCTGCTGTTCACACTCAGGTCCTTACACTTGCACGGCAAGCACTTTAGTGATAGAGCTCTCTCCCTGGCTCTCACATCCCCTTTGAGGAGTGTATCCTGCGTGTGCATGTGCGTGTGCATGTGCGTGTGTGTGTGTGTGTGTGTGTGTGTGTGTGTGTGTGTGTGTGTGAGAGAGAGAGAGAGAGAGAGAGAGAGAGAGAGAGAGAGAGAGAGAGAGAGAGAGAGATAGTAGATATGGAACCCAGGGCCTTCTGTGGGCCAAGCACACACTGTCCTACGGAGTCACACTCTAGCCCTTGGCTAAACTTTCACGTATTGAACTTGGCCCCCCTACTTTCTTTGGAGGCTTCTTTTTTATGTTTTGAGATGGCGTCTTGCTATGTAGTCTAAGCTGACCTTGAACTCATTATGATCCTCCTGCCTCAGCTTCTCTGGTGCTGGGATCACAGGTGTGCACCACCACATCTGACTCAAAAGCCTCCTGAATGACGTCAGGCACCATGAACTTGAGAAAGCTTGTGCACCTTCTGACACGTGTGAGCGGTTCAAAAGATAAGACAGAGATCTGGCAGGAAACTGACCGGAATTCAGCTGCTTGATGATGAACTCTATCTGGCGGATCATTTCGGCGCTGCCTTCTTTGATGAAGCATCGCAGGATATCCTCCATTCCCTAGGAGCAGTGAAGAGAGAGCCAACGTTTCAGTGTTGAGACAGAGAGACTACCTTCAGTGGGGTAGTTTCATCCCAGCCAAAAGGTATTTTTTTTTTCTTCTTTTGGGGAAAGGCTATTTAAAATAAAAAGTTATCTGCTTGGTATTAAACATTCATTTTAAAATTCACAGTGAAATTGTCTTCTTCTTGGTTGACTATCTCAATTTAATTATAACATTATAATACACTTAGAAAAAACTGAAAAGATCGTGAGCTTGCACTGTATGCCTGTATCCCAGCACTCACGGTACATGTACACTAATGCCTTTAGTTTGGGAAACACAGTTTGGGGAGTGACTTCTTTCCCACGTTTTCCCTAAGGGTCATTTATGGTCTTTGAAAAGCTGAACCACATGTTTTGAAGAAACAGAGGCTTTTTCAACCAACCATAATTCTTACTCTATCAAAAGAATGACAGAGAGGCCAGGGAGATGGCCTGGCAGGTAAAAGCACCGGCCGCACAAGCCTGATGACCTGAGTACGAACCCGGAGCCCACGTAAAAAGCCAGATGTGGCAGTGCACATCTGTAATCCCGGCACTCCTACGTGAGACACCAGGTAGAGGCAGGACGGTAAGGCAGGCTGGAGTACGCAGGAAGCACCAGACACCAGACAGACACGGCCGCAAAGTCGTCCACTGACGCCTCTATGTGCGCATGCCGTCCCGCCATCCCGCTGTCCCGCCTTCCAAATACATTAACTACATCTTTGGTGTTCAGAGACAGGGTCTTACAATGTAGCCCTGGCTAGCCTGAAACTCATTATATAGACCAGGCTAGCTTTAAACTTAAAAGAGATCTGCCTGCCTCTGTCTCCCAAGTGCTGGGATTAAAGCCATAGGCCACCACCAGGTCCAGCCTTATTAAAATTTTAAAGAAGGAACGATGGGGCTGGAGAGATGGCTAGACGGTTAAGAGCGATACTAACTTCACAGAGGACCCAGGTTTGATTGCCAGCACCCACATGGCAGCTCACAACTGTCTAGAACTCTAGTTCCAGGGCATCTGACACCTTCTTCTGGCTTCCCTGGGCACCAAGGGTGCAAGTACACACACATACGTGCAGGTGAAACATCCATACCCATAAAACTGAAAGAGAAACCATACAAAATGACAGAGTTACCACGCTGTGCCACTGTAACACAGCGGCACTAGAACCACCCACTCTAGCTAGGAGAACGAAAGCGAACATGGAGATAAGATACTAACTGTCAGAGGACTACGCCTCCTCCCTGTCCTGGAAGAACTGGAATGGGTGCATGTGCTGTGCTGGACCAATCAAGGTTTTCTTGGCACCAAGAGGGGAAACATGTCTAAGAGTGAACCCAAAACAGAGTGACTGGTGTCCAGAGAGGCTGGCTCACCGGCAGACAAACTGCCATCATCCACTGCCTAACGCATGCCCTTGAGCTTGTGGTGATATGAGCCAGTATGCTCTGTATTTTATTTTTTCAATTTTATGAATTAACTTATTTATTTATTTTGGAGAAAGGTCTCACTATGTAGTCCTGGCTGGTCTGGAACTCACTATAGAAACAGACCAGGCTAGTCTCAATCTCACAAAGACCCTCCTGCCTCTGCCTCCTGAGTGCTAGGATTAGAGGCGAGAGCCATCATGCCCAGTTGTGTTCTCTTTAAACGGCTAATCTAGAAGTACTAGCTCTAACAGAATGTAGATCAGAATTTAGCTTTTATCACGTTGAGTTTGGAATGTGATCTCAGCTCCGGAGTTAGGTCCCAACTCTACCTTACTTGAATCACTCAACTTCTTCCAGAGATAAGCTCTATCATTGGTACTACTTCTGTAGATGTCTGTGTCTCTCAAAAGGTAAGGCCTGTATGTAACTGTATGTAAGACCTGAGCACTCCATTTTTGCAAGTTATACCTCATCGATGGTGTCTAGTCCAGTGGACGCACCAAGGATGCTCCTGAGTGGTCAAACGGCCGGCACCTGCTGGGTCTGGCGGGACTTGTGGCTCAGGCGAGTGCAGCTGAAGCCCTGAGCAGAGGAGGCGCCCCAGTGGGCACAGTGAGAAGACCTGAGGGCTGGGCCAGAACCTTAGAGGACAAGGGCACTCCACGTGAGGCAGGACAGGACGCCTCGAGAGAGCAGACCGTGAAGGCATAGTCTGAAGACAGGAACAAGTGACGGGTGTCCCAGAGGACTGAGACACTGTGGGCCCGACAGGTATCTGGGCTTGTCCCACAGCCATCTACCACAGTCTGCCTTAGTTCTTGGCTGCCAGAAAGGCTAAACGATCTGTCTCTGCCTCACACAGTGGACTCTTCCCCACTTCCATCCCCACAGGAGTGAGTTAGGGGACTATTATTAGGAGACCGTCATGTGCTCAACCTCAACATGCCAATAACCACAATGGTTACTGAGCAGCTTAGGAACAGCCGGAGACAAAGAACTCCTTCAAACTCTTTTCTCCCAGAGGCAATCCTGTGAGGATTATCTGCCCACATCTTTATAGACATTTTAGTCTAATTGACTCTCATTCTTACGTGTCCGGCTTAGTTAAGCACGTGGAAAACAAACAGCTCAATCCCTCTGGAGTTAGGAGGGTTGTTTGAACACTTTCTTCACAGCAAATACTCCAATGAAAACTTCCACATATTTTTTTTAAAACCACATATAGTAGGTAATGTTTAATCTAAATTATAGAAATGAGTAGGCATAAAAAATAACAGTATTCTGCTGGGTGTGGCGGCACACGCCTGTAATCCTAGCACTCAGGAGGCCAAGGCAGGAGGACCAAGGGCCCCGTCCTTCCCTGGGTTAGAGTGAGACCCTGCTGGCAAAAATAAACAACAAAACCTGGTATTTCATCTTGAAAGCAATAACCCGGCACTTCAGATCAACCTGCACAGAGGAGGTGGGGGGACAAGAGGCCTCATCACTAGCCACTTGGATGTCTCCGAGCACACAGTGTGCCACACAGAAAGAGGAGGAACTTAGCTCAGCTACCATTAAAGAAAACAGTGAAAACAAAGGCTGAGTCAGCTTGGTGGGAAGCTTGGATCAGAAAGGTTTGCATCTTCTGGACTCTGGAATATCTGCACATACCTAATAAGACATCTTAGGGATGGAACCCAGGTCTAATGAAAATCCATTTATATTTCAGTTTCACATACCTTTCATATGTAGCTTCAAGATAATTTTACATAGTATACCTATATTACATAGTATACAACACACACACACACACACACACACACACACACACACACACACACACACACACAACCTGTTGTTATTTTTGAGACAGTCTCACTGTATAGCCCACACTGGCCTCAAGCTCATGATCCTCCTGCTTCTGTCTGCTGAGTGCTAGGACCATGCACCACCTGACCTGGCTATAACAACATTTGCAACAGTTTTGTGAATGAAAGTTTCAGGGTGAGAATTTCCCATCTGTGGCTTCATGTCAGTGCTCAAAAAAGTTTCTGATTCTGGAGCATTTCAGATTCTGTACTTTTGTTTATTGGAATTTGTTATTGAATATGCTCATCAGTGATTCTCAAATGTATACATTTAAGATAATAAATATGTTTTAAAGATTTAATTTTTATGTGTATGTGCACATACGAGTATGTGCATGCATTCATGCCAGCCACATGTGTGCAGGTGTCCTCAGAGGCCAGAAGAGAACATTGGAGTTACAGGTGGGCACAAGCTGCCCAGTGTGTGTGATGGGAACTGAACCTGGATCCTCAAGAAGAGTGGCAGGTGCTCCTAACTGCTGAGCCATCTCTCGGCCCCCTGGAGTCCGAATTCTTGTATGAGGGATGCTCAGCTTGTCCCAACAGAGGAAACAGGACTACAGGGAGAGAAAACAATCCACTATGGCCGACTTCTCACTGGACTAAAGATCGCATTAGTGCTGGGAGGAGGCTTAGTGGCAGAGTGCATGCTTAGCCACTAAGTCTCCTTAGTTTCATCCCTGGTACTTCCGGGAAAGGGGGAGAGGGAGAGAGGGAGGAAGGGGGGAGAGGGAGGAAAGGGGGAGAGGGAGAAAGGGAGGGAGGAAGGGGAGGAGGGAGGGGGAAGGGAGAGAGGGAGGAGGAGAGGGAGGGAGAGAGAGAGGGAGTGGGGGAAGGAGAGCAGTTTTAATTTCTGGTGTGATATTGCAGCACAGGTATGGAAAGCTCTGGAAGAAAACACAGGTGCCCCTTGAAAGGATGATAAACGGTGCTGGTGGCAGCACTGGTTACGTGTGGAAAAGTCACAAACCATGGCCACGACTACCTAGTTACAGAGAGCTTTATTAGGAGGAAGAGGGGGTGGGATACAAGAGAAGCAGGCCTGGGAAGGACCACATGCGGCGAGCAGAGAGAAAGATGGGGGGGGGAGCAGAGAGTGGGGTCTGCGCCCAGCTTTTTTAAGGGCTCCCGGTACCGAGCTACACCACGCATGTGCTGATTGCGTGACCACACCACACACATAGTCACCAACGCACACTGATGATGTAAGACGCAAGACCCTTTGCTTAACTCTTGAACCGCACATGTGTGGTCATGTAGCTGGAGTGAGGGCAGAATTCTAACATTCCAGACTTTTTGCTTATTATAAAAAAGTGAGGGAACAGGAATAGGGACGTTGTTTCTCCCAGAAAAACTGCTTCCAGCTGACTTGGTGGGCGTCGGTTGGCTCTTGGGATAGGGAAGGGAGTTTCTGACGTCCTGGGATGGTGGGCTGTCTGTGTTCCACTGCCCTGAAGTTGTCTATCCTTTCTGGTTTGGAACTCTGACTGACAGCTGCTTCTTAACATGTTCAAAATTTTTCCCAAGCTCCAGAAACCAGCTTAAATCCATCTGGACAGGTCGGATCTACTTCAGATAAGTGCCAAACACAAACTCCCTTGGTCAGAGAACACTCCAAAGAAAATAAAAATAATAGTGATTCTTTTTTCCTAAGCTTTTTCTGTCTCACCAGTATCCTGTCAGCCAAAGAGTTCTGAGCCAGAAAGGATGGACAACTCCAGGGCAGCAGATGACAGACAGCCCACCATCCCAGGACACCTGTCTACTTCAGAAGCTCCCTTCCCTATCCCAAGAGTCAACTGACGCCCACCAAGTCAGCTGGAAGCAGTTTTTCTGGGAGAAACGACGTCCCTATTCCTGTTCCCTCGCTTTTTTATAATAAGCAAAAAGTCTGGAATGTTAGAATTCTGCCCTCACTCCAGCTACATGACCACACATGTGCGGTTCAGGAGTTAAGCAAAGGGTCTTGCGTCTTACATCATCAGTGTGCGCTGGTGACTATGTGTGCGGCGTGGTCAGCAATCAGCGCATACATGGTGTAGTTCCATACCGGGAGCCCTTAAAAAGCCGGACGCAGACCCCACCCTCTCTCTGCTCTGCTCTGTCTCTTCCCCACCATCTTTTTCTCTGCCCTCTTCACGTGCTCTTTCCCAGGCCTGGTCCTTTTGGTCCTCCCCTACCCCTCTTCCTCCTAATAAAGCTCTAAACCTAATACTGGGTTCTGTCGTGACCTTGCCACGCAGTAACCAGCGCCATTTTTCATCCTTTCACCCCCAGCCATGTGACTCTAGGCAGAGAAGTCTACTTCAAAGTCATGGGCAAGAAAATGGACACAACGCAGTCAGTCCAACTTCAGGGACCACTGAGAGGCTGACTAGGAGGAAGCCCCTGCCCCAGAACAGAAAGAGCAGAGAGCACCACAGTGTGCATGTGGGAGTCAGAGAACAACTCCCAGGAATTAATCCTCTTCTACCAGAATTCAGCTTGGTGGCAGGTGCCTTTATCCACTGAGACATCTTGCCACCCCTAAATACTAGTTAGTTTTAATACTGAAGGCAGTTAAGTTCCATTGTTGGGTGTATTCACACAGACAGTTCTGAACTGAGTCATGTCTTGTTTAACTGTTGACAACTAGAAGATTTAGTAATTCTCTTAAAAAAACAAAACCATGGGGTGGAATGTTCTTGTGGTCTCCTGTGTTCTGAGCACGGAAACACATCTAATCCCTTCACCACAGAACTGAATATGTACACAGGTACTCTGGTTTCACATAGCATCAGGAAAAAGGCCAAAGCTTTAGTGGTTTTGCTGGCTAACTAGCTTTAGAAACAACTGTCCTCTCAAATAAGACACTAATCACACAGCCGTTGTTGTTGTACTTCAAATATAAGCACAAATGTAAACAAAGTAAGTAAAACTCTATTTACCAGCAATTGAGATGTCAATCAGCTTTATAAACTGCCCAGAAACACCTCCAACATTGCAAAAATAAGCCTGCTAGAATTTTCCCAACACTGTTAGCTCCTTACCATTTACAATGTAGGGATCCTTGTGAGATTCTGATAGAAACAACAGATTCTCCCTTGAGAAAACCACAAATCTATCTTTTATATACAGTTTTAGGGAGTCTGTAAGCCATGTAAAGGCCTGCCCTGGATGGATGGGATGGAGTAGAGATCGTCTTCTCACCACAGTTCTGACTTACGGTGCTGGGAGGAGCCGTGGAAGTGCTCAGGGCTGTGTGTGTGTGTGTGTGTGTGTGTGTGTGTGTGAGAGAGAGAGAGAGAGAGAGAGAGAGAGAGAGAGAGAGAGAGACAGGGACTCACAAGAAAGTCTCATGTGAGACAGACTGGCCTCAAACTCACTATGTAGCTTAGGCTGGTCTCAAACTTGCAGAGATCTTCCTGCCTCAGCCTCCCAAGTACCAAGGTTGTGAACCGCTACGCCCAGCTCGGCACATCCTCTTACCATGGCTCTGGCCTCCTCACGAATGGACGGGATGGAAAGGATGCTGTACAGGGCTCCATTCACGTATGGCTGTATCTTTAAGGGGAGAAAAAAGACCAGTTATTTATTTGCAAGTTTTCAAATACTAACAACTCAATTACCAGATGCCAGACTCAGGAAGAGTCTAGCTAAGGGAGAGCTGGTGTCTCTGTTTCCAGAACCCAGAATGCACATTCACCACCCCTTCTCAAACTGCTTCCTGTCACATGTCACTGCTTAACTAGTGTATTTTCTAGCATCCTGGTCACCCAGATCAGAAACTTGAGAGTCATCATGGATTCTGCTATTTATTCCCAATATTTCCTCTCTGGCCATTATTGCTAAGAGCCCTTGCTTCCCTGTGGTGGCATTCCTGCTGAGCTGCACCTGGCCTGGCTCCAGAGAGCAGCACCTAGCCCCAATCTGTCTTTTGTTTAGCAGACACCTTTTGTTTCCCTTGCTGCCCTCCATGTGAATCTTGTCTGGACTTTCCCAAGGATACAAAGGTCTATGCAAAACTTGGTTCAGGAAACCCGGAAAACCTGGTACCTGAGAAATCGAGGAATTTGCACTTGGCATTGTGTTGTTGGGAGCCCCTTTCAGGGTGTTTTGAGCATGTGGAAATTAACTGGCTAAACCATATTGGAGAGAAATAAAACTGCCCTAGGTGAGGGAAGAGTGCTTCAGTCCTTCCAGGCTGGACCCCCCTGCAGCCATGAAAGGCTAGATTCATTCTTAAGATGCCTCTGAGTCTGCATTCCACGGACATGCGTGAATCCACATACCCGTGCCATGACACTCATCTGCTGCTACTGTCCTTGCTCAGATGTCACTGTCATAACTGAGGATACACTGTCTCTAAACTAGACCCCACTTCTGAAGTTTGCCCTGTGATCCAACTACCATGCAGCTGAGCCTTCTTGCCTATTCAATTTGACAAGAACCACTTTCTCCATACCCCCAAAATCCTAATGTGCACACAAGTACGAGCAGCTTTCTCCTGATGACCCTGGGTCTCATCTTTCAAGACCAGGGCTATCTAACACAGGATACACAGGGGCAACTTTTGTCTGCTGCAGCCCCACTCTTCCAGAACACACACGTGTATTTAAGTAAGTACCTTTTCTTTTTTTACAAGGTTTTTGTTTGTTTGTTTTTCAAGACAGGGTTTCTCTGTGTAGCTTTTGGAGCCTGTCCTCGAACTCACAAAGATCCACCTGCCTCTGTCTCCCGAGTGCTGGGATTAAAGGCGAGCGCCACCACCGCCCGGCTGTACCTTTTCTTTTTGAAACAGGTGTGCTTCAACTTGTTATAGAGCTGATGATGAGCTTGACCTTCTGACTCTCCTTCCTCTCCCTCCCCAGTCCTATGGTGCCTGGTTTATGAGGCCCTGGGGATGGAAGGCATGGCTTTGTGCCTGCTAGACAAGGTTCTATTGCTCTTAAGCAAAGGCACTGGTGCCCGCCGATGACAAGAACCGACTCCTCTGGGCTAAGGTATTTTGCATTCTATTAACTCTCAGAAAGACTGTGGCTCCTGCAGCGCTAACCTGCCTGAGTTAAACATAATGAAGAAGAGACTCAGGGAGCGATGAGCCAGGACTGAAGTTGTGAAAAACTTGCTGGCTTTGAAATATAAAAGGCCCAGCATGAACTCTAACAGCCACCTAACGTCAGTGAGGTGATGCAGCTGTAGGGGAATGTAGCTGTCTGTGAAAAGAACTAGACCAGAGCTGTCCGCTTGAAATAGGAATAGATGCAGGGCAACCTAATGCTCTTCTTGATCCAAAGGTCCTGCCGATCATGCCTGCTGAAAGAAGTCCTGTGTCAACATACGTCTAATTTTGGTTGAGCTGCAGCTGCAGATGCAGAGTGTTGCCATCATCCCAGTACTCTGGAGGCTGAGGGAAGGGAATTGCAAGTTTGAGGCCAGCTGGGGCTATAGAGAGAGTTTTGGACAGGCTGGACTACTGTGAGATGCTATCATTTCTGGAAAAATATTTGTAAGTGAGAGATGAATCACCTGTACCCACGTTTTTGCTAACTTATCATATTTTAAAATGGCTAGAAAACTTATAAAGTAACACCAGCTGTGTGGTAATGGGGTCATTCTGGAGGGCAACTTGATCCCTGCATATGCTGTGAGCTGGCAGCCACAAGGGCGACATGTCCCATGGAGCTCAGTGTGTGTGTTTACTATAGGACAACTGCAGCAGCAGAGCTGTGACTGTCACAGGCCTGCCCGTGAGAAAGAAGGTGTGTGCCAGGACACAGTGAAAGCCGGGGTACTGCGGCAGTGAGACCCATGAAGCAACAGAGAATGTCACCAAATGCCAGGGGACAGTCATCAACTGAGGAGCTCTAGGTTGCAGTATCTTTTATGCAAATTAAGTTCACACAAACACAGCACCAGAGGTATTTAAGGGCACACGTGTCCACAGACAGACATTAAAGGGTAGAGGGGACAGGAGGAGTGTTAATGTCAGGGGACGAGCCCAGGAATGATAGATGACACCAGACAGTGAGGGGGACAAGGACCTGGCTAGACCAGTGGAGGCAGGGCACCAGGAAGTGAGGAGGAAGAAGTTTGAAACTATACCAGATGCAAAGTTCCTTACAAAAATGGTTAGAGGATGGGCTGGGGAGTCTTAACAGACGCTTGCTTTACAGGCAGAATGGCCTGAGTTCAGATCCCGAGTACTCATGTAAAAGCGGGGCAGGTGTGGTGGCGCCAATAATCCCAGCACTTGGGAGGCAACTGTGGGTCCTTAGGGCAAGCTGGCTAGCCAGGTTAGCAGAACAGGAGAGCTCAGGGGTCCATGCTCTCGTGGATCTTGCCTCAGTAATAAAGTGGAGAGCAATGAAGGAAGACACCCAGTATCAAATTCAGGCCTTCATGGACACCCCCACACACGTGCACTCATACACAAGTAAACACACACACACATAAACACACACACTCATGCACGTGCACACACGCACATACACAGAGAACCCTCAAATACAGGAAGGAATGTACGTTGAATACAGCAACTGCCCAAAGCCAGCCCCTTGCCTTTGAGGTCACAAGCACCCAGGTGGTCATTACAGTTCCCCAATTCACCCCAGGGCAAGCAGCTCCGCCCGAGTACCTCACGGTTCTCATGGCCAAGGAGGTCTGAAAGGACTTTGAGCACGAGCCCTGCCACTTTGGCACACGTGTTCTTTCCTGCGGGAAGAAAGGCGGAGGAGAACAGTCAGGTCAAAGGGAGCTGTGTGACGCGCCAGTCAGTCACTCTGAGCCTCACTCGTCTCCTTTTAAAAGTGGATTATTATGCTGCTGGGTTTGGTGGCACATGCTTATAATCCAGGGAGGCAGAGACAGGAGGGTCTCTGTGAGCTCAAGGCTAGCCTGGTCTACATAGTAAGCTCCAGGAGAGATGGACTACATAGAGAGCCCCAATCTCAAACAAACAAACATATATTATTAGCCCCTGCCCCAAAGGAAGGTGCAGAATTAAGTGAGCCCACACAAACCCGAGAACTTGGGAGCTGGTGGTGGCCCTGACAACAGTCCAAGTCTAATGTGCTGTGTGGACACTGTGTCACCTAACACATCACCAAACTGTAAGCTGATGACAGGAAAAGGTGGCTGGGGTCTGACAAGCATGCCGGGAGCTGGGGCTTCCACACGGGGTATTCCCAGAGCAGAAGACTGAGCAGCAGTCACTTCCTCAGGGGACAGCACACTCGTGGCTTGGAGCATGAAGCCCCGCAGATGGGGGAGAGTGGGCACGCGGCTGAGCCAGCAGGCTTCTCACCTACCTTTCTCACAGACCCTACCATGGAGACAGCCCAGCAGTGAGTGCCTCTTCTAAGGCATCGCATACTGCGGGTGACAGAGTCTGAAAGGGTTGATGTGCGTACAGAAGCTGAAACTCCCATCTCCGTTGAGTGGGTAAGCATTTGTTGTTTGTTTTGGGGGATTCTGCTTTTTCTTTTGAGACAAGGTCAGCCCAAGTCAGCCTCCAATTTGCAGTATAACCAAGGGTGACCTTGAACTTCCAATCCTGTCTCCACCTTCTGAGTGCTGGAATTACAGGCATGCACCACCATGCCTAGTTTACACCGTACTGGGGAGGGAACTAGAGCTTTACACAAGCCAGGCAAGCATTCTATCAACTGAGCTACATTCCCAAAAGGTAAGAAGCAGCTTTCGGTGCCCTTGTGAGATGGAGAACACCGAGCAGGCAGCATGACTTAATGTCACCGCTCCTGCCGCCAACTTCACACCAGAGGATGCTGGGAACACACCTCTCCATCCTCAGTGGCAGTGATCATAACTCTTAACTTCCTACCTTCGAAAAGTGCAACAAAGCTGACAGAAATGTGACTGGCTTTGCTCTGCTCCTCAGAGGGCACCGTATAAACACGAAACTGCACACAGATTCTTTCCAGTACTCACCCCTCTCCTAAGTTTTCCATAAGGGAGACAAAAAGGAAGCCTTACTGGGCTTAGTGGGAATGCAGATTTGTGGGCAGATCTCTGCCCAGCCATCCTCCATACCAGGACATGTGTATCTGGGTGTGTGTGCATGCGTGGGGGGTTGGAGGGCTGTAACACCTGCACTACGAAGGCAGAGGTTCATGAGCAAAGCCACAGAGTACTCCAGTGTGTAGTCAGACAGGCAGTCGGGGTCCTGCAGAAGGTCGATCAGCCAGAAGATGAGGCCGTCACGAATCATCGCAGTCTGCAGTGGGCGCCTAAGGGGAAACAACCTTATCAGCTGAATTAACTGGCAAGGGACTTTCCACGGAAGAGCGCCACAGTGCAAATGGGGATGAATGGAGCTATGAAAGACAGTCTCTGGGGAAGACCCTTCAGCCCATTCAACTGGGACAACAAAAATTCTTTTGTTTTTAAGGATACAATACTTTAGAGAATGATTGAGCAGTAAGAAGGGCGTCCCACTTTGAAAGTCCCCTTTTCAATAGCTAAAGCTAGCAGACTTCTACTTCAATTACGTAAATATCATCAATAGCTTTGGCTTACTTGACCCAGGCAACAGGCCACAGAAATATTACTTTGGAAAAAAAAATCAATTTGGAGGGGCTCATCTTACATGATTCCATGCGCTGGACATGCACAAGACGGAGCTACAAAAGAGATATGGGATGCTGTCGAGGGCCGGGATGGAATGAAGGGTGGCAACAATTAGTGTGAGACTTTTTTCTATCGAGATAGAAATGTTCTAAAATTAGGACTGGTAAAATGATCGGTGGGTAAGGGCCTGCAGCCAAGCCTGACGGCCCGAGTTTGATCCCCAGGACCCTAGGAAGGAGAGAACCCATGCCTACAAATTGTCCTCTTACCTCCACAGTCACACGTACAAACAAACAAAGAAATGGGAAATAGGTTCTACTCTCAGGTTGTGATGGCTGCAGAACTCTGCACATTTGTGAAAACCAGACTTGTCCAATTACGACGGTGACCTTTGGGACTGGAGAGATGCTCAGCAGTTAAAAGCACTTGTTGCTTTTGCAGAGGATCTAGGTTCATTTCTCAGAACCCACATATGGCTCAGAACCATATGTGTAACCCCTGTTCCAGGGGATCAGAGCCCTCTTCTGACAGCTAACATGTGTTACATACATGCTGTATATACATACACACAGGCAAAACACTCATATGTATAAAATAAAACAGTTTTTTTTTTTTTTTTTTTTTTTTTTTTTTTTAGAAACAAGGTTCTATGTAGCCTTGGTTGGCTGGGGCTCACTCTGTAGCCCAGGCTGGTCTTGAACTCACAGAGCTCTACCTGCCTCTGCCTCCCAGTTGCTGAGGTTAAAGGCGTGCGCCACCATGCCCAGCTAAGCTGTTGACTGTTTGTAAAAAGTTCTCTAAGAAGACACTAGGTCTGGTTCAAAAAGAACATGAAGGGCTTGACAGATGGCTCAGTGGTTAAGAGCACCTGCTGCTCTTTCAGAGGACTCTGGTCCAGTTCCCAGCAACCACACGGCAGCTCACAGTCATCTCTAACTCCAGTTCCAGGGATACAGCACTCCCTCTGACCTCCGGGGGCACTGGGCATGCGCATGGTACACAAACATACATGCAGGAAAAACACTCAGACACATAACATGAATTTAAAAAGAAATACTTCAAAACAAAACAAAGCCAGGCTTTTAAGTTCTAGTGTAGACTTCCAAGACTGTGGGTGGGCTCCTGGGAGAGAACTCATGGGAGCACCTTGACTCCGTGTGTTTATCCTTACACCAAGCACCTGGTTGGCACTAACCTGATACTAGGTGGGAAGGCAATGGTGCACTCACTGTACTGTCTTCCTCCATCCCCAGCAGCCTTCAACAGCAGAGCTTAGAGAGAAGTTTCTAGCTCTACCATGGAAAGTCATCTAACTTCTCATAAGTGTTAACAGAAAGATACCATTTATATCCTAGGGTGCCATGAGAATCCAGGACAAAGTAAGTGATGGTACACACACACATGCACACGCACGCGCACGCGCACGCGCACGCACACGCACACACACACACACGCACACGCACACACACACACACACACACACACGCACGCGCCAGCCTGAACTCACAGGTCCTCACCTGAGGCTGAACTTCTGCAGGGCCCCAAGGACATTCTCACGAGTGATGACATCCTTGTCTTCCTCCTTCAGCCTTCCCTCCAGCATCCGGAGAACCTTTGTGTTCTGGGCTAGGTAGAGTCGACCTAAGATGTGCCAGAGATGAAAATGAGGAAGATGTAAAGAATTAATCCAGTGTGCACTAAGGCCACTTTCTAGTAAAGATATGCACAGGATACACTAGAAAGTTCTAGAAGAAATTGTTAAAATGTACTTTTTCTGAGCCATGTACATGCCTGTAATCTCAGTACTAGGGGAGCCGCAGCAGAAGGATTGCAAGTTCATGGCCAGGCTAGTACCTACATAGGGGGACGCTGTCTAAAAACAGAAGTTTACTCAAGCAATGATCTAACCAATAGAAAGGCTTTCTTCCTGTAAGCCGAACATAAGCCACCACCACAGTCTGGGACATCCTGAACCTGAAGGACCTACAAGGGAAAAAGAGGAATGGAACTATGCTGTGAGCCCCCGGACCTTTGCAAGGGAGGTAGCCAAGATGCTTCGGCCACACTCTCCTGTTCCTTATGGACATGCTCAGAGCCCGATGGAGGTGGGGCCCGTCTGGGACACCTGCACAAGTGTAGAGTCACCTCTCCCCCTTTGTAGATCTCTGCATTGACAAATACTAACTATTAGATGAATGGTCTCAGTGCATACACTGGCTTGTAATAAGTGTTTGCCAAATGAATGGGATAATGAATTAAATAAACATGTTGACTATCATGTATTTATAACCTGAAAACTCTTTTTATTCACATTAAAAACACCTCAAATGGGGCTGGGTGTGGTGGTGCACAACCCCAGCCCTGGAGGTCAAGGTCAGTCTTTGCTACATAGAAGGACCTAGTTTCAACAATAATTAAAAAACAAAACAACAGCAACAAAACCTCAAACAAATAAGACTGTAAGGAACTTATCCTGGGTGTGTACGGTGTGTGTGAGATGTACTTTGTGAATGTGGGTGCCAAGGCACATACATGTAGGTCAGAGGACAATTTCAGTGGTCAGGTCTTCCCTTCCACCAACGCTGGGATCCACAGCTGGCCTGTTGGTGGGTTCTAGGAATCAACTCGGGTTGTCAGGAGCTTTCACACAAGAGCTTTCACTACCTGAGCTGTTTCATCTGCCCTGATAATGGCCCTTTGTAAAGCTGATTTTTATTCAGAATGGAGGAGTGGTGCAGTGCTTGCTAGAACAGGCTTCACTTCTTTTACCACACTTATGTTGGCAAGTAGGAATTACAGAGAAAGTATTACCTATTATGCAGTTAAAAACAATTTAAGTAAGAGTTATAAAATCTTACATATTGTAAAATAAACTCCAAAGGCAAGAAAATTTGCTCTGACAGAAACTTGGGCAATTATCTTAAGGACTCATTTTCACAAGAGATGTTGGAAGAACAGATATGAAATGAGGAGACCTGGGACTTCACAGGGATGCCACGGGGCTTTACCAGGGCTGTTCTTCCCGGAGGGAAGATGTCATCTCACCTTCAGCCAGGGACGCCAGGGCATTGATGAGCCTGGCCATGTACTGGCGCACAGCCTCGCTCTTGGAGTGCAGCAGCTGCAGCACGCTCCTCTGCAGGGAACAACCATTGAGAGGAACAGTGAGCTGGGAGGCGGGAAGGGGCAGACGCCCCCAGGCCTGGTTAACTAGAGGAAAACAGCTGCAACCACAGTTCACCTGCAGCTCTTGATTGCCAAAGGATACTTGCCGAGACTTGGCAAAAGGAAGTCGCCCAAAGTTCTAAGTTAAATGAATTAAGTATGCTGAGCAGCTAGAACAACGGGGCACACGTGGCTGCTACTGCTGCCGGCTGTCCAGGTGAGAGAAGCACACATCTAATTCAGCCCCCTCCAAACACGGCAGGACTACAGGAAATGGCTTTTTTTTAAAGACACAATTCCTGAACAGCTGATTAAATACCATGAGAAACGTTACTTGTACAGGACAAATGCCCTGAGTTCCTCCACTTACGCTTCAAAATGCTGAGGAGCGAGGGACAAAGCAGGGGACAATACAGACAGACAAACAGAAAGAAAGTGGCTAGATGTCCCTGTGCTGTCCCTGTGATCTCCAGCACAGGGACAGGGAGGGAGCGTTATCACGAGAGGCTAACACAGAGGGTCTCCGCATCGGGGCACACCAGGTTCCCATGAGCAGGGAGCTACCAAAATGCAGACAGGAAGCCATCATGATGGTGCATGCTTGTCACCCAGCTCTTGGGAGCCAGCGGCAGGACAATCTCCAGTTTAAGGTCAGTCCAGGTTATAGCAAGATATTCTCAAAACCAGTGGCTGCAAGACTGGAGAAGATGGCTCAGCAGTTAAGAGTACTGGCTGCTCTTGCAGAGGACCTGGGTTGGGTTCCTAGTGCCCACATGCCAGCTATCAACCATGAATAACTTCGATTCTAGAGGATCTGATACCCTCTTCTGACCCCCTCAGACCCTGCATACACATGGTGAACATACATACAGGCAGACAAACATTCATACACACACGCACACACAAATAAAAACAATAAATCTTAAAAACAAACAAACAAACAAACAAACAAACAAACAAACAAACAAACAGTGTCTGGAATGTAACTTAGTGGTAGAGCACTAGTAAAACCCTGTGTTCAGAAAGCAGGGTGGAGGGGAGGAGGCTGGAAGGAGAACATCGGTTCAGGAGAGAGGAACAAGCGGGTGTCAGTAGAAGTTTGGGGAAGCAAGACTCCTGTACGGTAGCTCTGTGTGCTATGTAGAGTGCTCCAACTGAACCAGGCCAACTGAAAGGGCCACATGCCATCCCAAAATGTCAACTACCTTTGTACCATCTCTATTTAGGCAAATTTTCACTGTAGTGTACAGTCCAGAGAACTTACAGATCACCAGGGCACAGCCTGAGGAGTGTTCACAAGTGAACATGTGGTAACGGGCAACCAAGTGCAGAAGCCACATCTCCACAGCCCAGAGACGCTCCAGGACACCCTTCCAGACTGTTCCCTCCTGCGTGCATATGGAGCCCAACGATGTCTTCCTCAGTCACTCTCCAGCTTATTTTTGAGACAGGGTCTCTCACGGAGCCTGAAACTCGCTGATTTGGCTAGACTGGCTGGCCAACAAGACAGGGACCCTCTTGTCTCTGCCTCCCCTGCACTGGGATTACAGGAACATATCACAGCACCCAGCCAGACTGCCTACCTGCCTTCTTTTTAACATGGGTGCTGGGAAGCCAGGCTTGTGCTCCACTTTACCAAATAAACCATCTCCCCAGCCCCAACTTGGCCTGTTTTTAAAAAACTGTGACTGGCAAAAACACTTCTTATAGAGAATACTGATGTCTGGCTTAAGATCTTAGTCTGAATCTCACACAAAGTTTAGTTTTAACTTTCAACTTGATCCAATCTAGAATCACCTGGAAGACAGTCTCAATGAGGGGCTGCCTAGAGCAGGCTGGCCTGTGGGCATGCACGTGGGGGATTACCTTAACTGACCCATTTTAACCGAGGATGTCACTAGCTGCGCCACCGGTGGCATTCCTGCTGTCTAGATTTGCTGGCAAAGATGGACTGACGAGTGAAAATAAACTCTTTCTCCCCAAGTTGCTTTTATCACAGCATCAGAAACGAAACTAGGCTAGGACACCACACCTCATCCTGAGCCTCTATTTCTCACTTGTGAAGGAGATTATAATGCCCACATTTCAAGTGTAAGGACCAACCAAGATCTCATGGAAAAGCTCATAATAGAACGGTCTGCACACAGGAGGTGCTCCTGGATGTCGGATTTCTTCCTTTCCTCCCCTAGTGGGAGTTACACGGGCTTCTCTGGAGTTATACTGAAATTATTTTTAATATTCAGCTTTAAAGTAGATAGACAGCCTGGGTTCCATTACTTATTTTTTATGTGCAGCAGTTTTAATTTTACAGGGGATTACAGTTAAGAGATTGCATGAATCTCAGAAGAAACTCTGAACTTTAGATTTTTAAAAAAGTTTGAAAACTGTATTAGACTATGGGGACTTTTGAAGTAGGACTGAATGTATTTTTGCATTATGATATGGCTATAAGCCTTTGGGGGCCAGGGAGTGGAACGTAATGATTTGAAAGAAAATGGCCTCCAAAGGGAGTAGCACTATTAGGAAGTTTGGCCTTGCTGGAGTAGGTATGGCTTTGTTGGAGGAAGTGTGTCACTGTGGGGATAGGCTTTGAGGTCTACCATGCTCAAGCTATGCTCAGTGTGGTACACAGTTCACTTCCTGTTGCCTGTGGATCAAGATGTAGAACTCTCAGCTCCTTCTCTAACACCATGCCTGCCTGTGTGCCACCATGTCCCGCCATGATGATAATGGACTAAACCTCTGAGACTGTAAACCACCCCATTAAATGTTTTCCCTTATAAGAGTTGCTGTGGTCATGGTGTCTCTTCACATCAACAGAAACCCTAACTAGCCGGGCGGTGGTGGCGCATCCTTTAATCCCAGCACTTGGGAGACAGAGCCAGGCGGATCTTTGTGAGTTCAAGGCCAGCCTGATCTACAGAGCGAGATCCAGGAAAGGCAAAAACTACACAGAGGAAACCCTGTCTCGAAAAAAAAAAAAAAGAACAAACAAACAAACAAAAAGAAACCCTAACTAACACAGTATCATACTGTAATTTTTAAAAGTTGGGATGGTGGCATCTCTCTCTCTCTTTCTCTTTCTCTCTCTTTCTTTCTTCATTCCTTCCCTTCTTTCTTTTTCTTTTTAGACAGGGTCTATGTAGCCCTAGCTATCCTGGACTCACTATGTAGACCTTTGCCTCCTTCATCCCAAGATTGGCTTGGTAGCTATTCCTTTATAAAAGAAAGGAAAGGGGATGCAACCTAGAAGTTTCTTAAGTGCTGGAAGTTTCTATTTCTTTATATTTTTGGTTCTGAGCCTGGCCTTTAATGACTGAGCCATCTCTCCAGCCCAAGTTTCTATTTCTTAATCTGGGTGATGGAAAAACAACTTTAAATTTTTCAAATATTCTCTATATTCATTCTTGTGAATAATAAGTGGAACTATGAATCTGGAAAGACAATAGTCCTTGAATTAAGGAAGTGTGCTCTTCAGATGCATACATAATGCTGAAGAGCTAGAACTGTCAGATGTGTACAGTTTGAAATAAGTTCCTTCAGGTTGATGATGCTACACACCAAACTTTGAGAACCACTAAGGGAGAAATACCTAGACAACCAGTTCAATTTCCCTTCCCAAGAGCCCAATCCATTTTGGAATCATGGTGGCCCAGCATCTGCATTACCAAGGAGTTTTCCTACCCTGCAAACTGCCTAGTATCTTTAGAGAACTCAAAGTCATTCCTTCTTAGAAACAAAACAAGGCTGGGGATGAACTGTTGGTAGAGCGCTTGTCTAGTATGCACGAAGCCCTAAATTCAATGCCCAGCACCATGTAAACTAGCCATGGGCACAAGCCTATAATCCCAGGCTTCAGGAGGTTGTAGAGGCAGGAAGTTCAGAAGTTCAAGGTCATCTTCAGCCCACATAGTAAATTTGAAGGCAGCCTGGACTATGTAAGACACTAACACAAGGGGTTGGAGAAATGGCTCAGCAGTTAAAAGCACTGACTAGGTGTTCTTCCAGAGGACAGGGTTCAATCCCCAGCACCCACTGGGGTTTCACAACTGTGACTCCAGTTCCAGGGGATCTGACACTGCCTTCTGGCCTCCATGGGCACTGCAGACATGTGGTGCACATACATACATGCAGGTGTAAAATGCCCATACACATAAAGTATTTTAAAAAAAAAAAATCTTAAAAAAAAAAAAAAGACCCTGTTGGGCAGTGGTAACATACATCTTTAATCCCAGCACTTGGGAGGCAGAGGCATGTGGATCTCTGAGTTCAAGGCCAGCCTGGTCTACAGAGTGAGTTCCAGGACAGCAAGGACTAAACAGCGAAACTCTATCTTGAAACAAACAAACAAACAACAACAACAAAAAGGCCCTAACACAAACACCACCACCACCACCACCACCACCACCACCACCACCAAAACAAACAAACAATAAAACAAGTAACAACGGACTTGAAGGAACTACATTCTTCAATGGCTTCAGAGATTGTAGCACTTAGACAAAAACCACCACTGACTTCCAAAACGGAGCACAACTCAAGTGGAAGGAGCGAAGAGGGCGGGAAAACTAGCAGAAGAGAGCTGCAGAGCCTACGAGGCAGTGGCTTGTTCAGGACTCTCCAGAACTGAAGAGTCGATCAAGAGGCGAACACAGACCTCAAGCAGCTGATGAGCTCACACTGCAAGGTCAGCACACTGACAGCGTCCAGAGGAACCAAAGCCTCATGTGTGCTAAGGTCCTTCTCTACCGCGGAAGGCCCTGGCCACCTCTTACCTGGTTGTGGCTGTGACAATCCAAGAGGTCATTGCTGATATAGGCTTGCAAGACTGTCTCCCTCTGCTCTCCAGGATGGGATGTGGTCAAGCGCTGCAAAGAAAAACCAAAGTAGCAAACTCCTACAGAGGCAAGAGCTAGGCCCTGAAGGGTGAGCAGATGGTCCACCAGCAGGGAGGAAGGTGAGTGTGTGTGGAAGGGTGGGGTGGGGCAGTGGTCCAGCTCAGAAAGGGGGGCCCAGGCTACCTTTAGAAGACTCTCAATGACCCTATCCAAAAGGACTAATGAGCAATGGAGGTGGGGAGGCAGATGGGAGAGAGGCTGGCTAGCTGGCTAGAATTCGGGAAGCCATTAAATCTGATATGGTGCCATATGAATTTGTGTGCTATCCACAGGGGAAGAAGAAAAGTTTGTGTGATGTGCAGGTGCACATGGCTGCTGTGTACAGCTTTGTTAGGACACGAGAAAGTTGTGTGTGTGACACGAGCAAATTGCTTTTCCAGGAAAAAAAGTCTTAAATAAACACCCTGAGGCTCAGAATCTGCTTCTGTCTGAGGACAAGCGTGGTGTGTTCAGAACATCCTGGTCTGCACATGGACAAAGGCCAAGCCAGAGTCAACAGACACAGCAGACAGGAGGAAGGAGAGGCCTTCAGAGGGAGGGGCATGCTGCTAGCTGACCTGATCACCACTATGAGGGGACTGCTAAAGGACTGTGTCAAGAATGTCACATGGGGTAATTCTTGTGGAGCCAAGAGGCTGGATGGGGCACTGGAGAAGAACACAGGCAAAGCCACTGAACAGCCGCATGCCTTCCTGATTATCTGGTCAGAGTGCCTGTTTTCTGTAGAAAGGGAGGCCCTGTCCCAGCAAGAGGCCCAGGGAGTGGACAGACTGAGCCATTGCTGGGTAGCAAACTCAGGCAACCAGGGTGAGTGTGGTAACACGAGCAGACACAAGCAAACCAGGGTTGAGGCAGCCCTGATGATCACTCAGGCTGCCCACCCACCCTGGTCAGCAGGCCCCCACAAACCAGAGCAGGTACCACAGGGGTCTCCCCTTGAACCCCAAGTATTCCTCATAGTTCCCAGTGAGGCACAGTCCAGGATGCACCACCAGATGCCACGGACCAGTGAGGACTGTTTCCATTCAAAGGTGGTGAAGTTGCTCAAAGAATTCTGAAGCAGATCCCAAAATGCAGGGATCCACACGGGAGCTTGACACTCCTCTAGGGTGAATTAGAATGGACTGTTTAGTGAAAGGCTCTGGCCAGTAATTCTCAAAGTGTAGTTCAGAGAACTCTGGGCATCCCAAAACTCTTTCGTGGACTCGGAAGGGACATGACTATTTTCCCTGACATTGAGATGGGTTCTGCCGTTCTTGATCACTTTCTCAGAGGCTGTGGAAGTGTGATACTGGCAAGTCTAACAAAAGGCAGGTTCTGAGGACCCCAGGGTCCTCCTCAAAGGCAAACCACGGAGACGGTTACAAAGATGCACAAGGACGTCACTCTCCATTCACTTCGTTTGTTGTTGGGAAACTAGTTACTGTTATTTGTGTTAAGCGGTCATTTGTTAATTTTACAGGGAATGATGCATTCTCCAGTTTTCTGTTTTAATTTTCTAATGTGTAAATACTGTTAAGATAAAATCCATACAAATAAAACTCTTTGGGGTCCACAACATTTCTGAGAATGTAGAGGGGTCTGGAACCCTTGAAAACCAACCACTGGCTGCAACGGATCAACCTAACTACTGAGGAATGGGAATCCAGATGAAGCCTAACCAGTGTGGCGAAGTACTTGTACCCAGGGGTCTCTGGAGTTGTGACTGGGTTTGGCTACATGTTCTAACTAACATGCAGGCCCCAAGCTGAATGTAGCACCTGACCAGGCAGGGCTGAATGGCAGAGGCAGCTGCCATATCACACTGGAGCAACAGTAACAGACACCAGTACAGAGTGCTGGAGAATACGGCCAAGGCCTAACTCTGGGAGCTGGTTTGCTTGCTGGGGCTAGGGGTGGAGCCTCACTACATAGCCCTGGTCTGGTCTGGATCCTGCTGTGTAGACCAGGCTGGCCCTGAACTTACAGAACGACACCTACCTCCGCCTTCTGCAAGCTGAGGGGTAAAGGCCTGTGCTCCCACACCTGGCTGGAGCGGCTTTTAACCTCAGGTCTTGGTGGCAGGCAGCAGGAAAGGATTTGCAGTGAAGGGATTATGAGAAACCAGCCAAGTCACCAGGTGGCCAGCCAAGAAAAGCAGTGCTGGAGTTTTCTCTCTGGTTTTTGTTATTAACTTCAAGGGGAAGGTACCTACCCAGCGCAGAGCCTGCAACAAGAAGGCTTTCAAGCGGTCACTGCCCCAGATCAAATCCTTCTTCAGTTTCTCATAATCCAGGGAGGGCAGTAATGGGACATCCTTCAACTTCCTATTCAGCATCGCAAGTTCAAAGAGAAGAGAAAGGGCAGAGGGCATGTCATTCCATCTCCCGAGCATCAAGATCTCTACTTAGACTCAAGCAACCAACAGTGGCCCAAACGCCACCCCAACTGTGGGCTCCCAAAATAGACAGAGCCTTCCCCTGGGAGCCTAGTGCCCAGGCCCCCGCCCAGCTCATCCAGCTCATCCCTGCTGATGGGTGGATTTTATGTAGTCTAAATTTATTTCTTCTTAGATTTCAATGGCATGCAAATTTTCTATAATAAGAAAAAAATTGCAAATAGGTTTTGTTTTTATTTTAGTGTTCAAACAGGTCCCACTGTGTAGCCCGGGCTGACCCTCCCACCTCAGCCTCCCCAGTGTGGTGATTACAGGTTTGTCACTCAAGTCCAGCTCCCCACACCCAGGCCGACCTTTTGGCTTTCTAACTGCACAGGGCTTGTGTAAAATACTAACACTGGGAAGTCTTGGGGGGCTGGAGAGATGGCTCAGCAGTTAAGGGCACTTGCTGCTCTTGCAGAGGACCCAGGTTCTATTCCCAGCACCAACATGGCAGCTCACAATCATCTGTAACTCCAATTTCAGGGGACCCAATACTCTGTTCAGGCCTCTGAAAGCACCGTGTGCACGTGGTGTACACAGGTAAGCCAGAACGCACATACACATAAATAAATACATCTTCAAAAGAGCATTTTTAAAAAGAAGTTTTGTAATAGTCAATTTACATCTCAAAATTACTATAACAAAGTGGGTGTGGTGGCTAATACTTCTAATTTCAGAACCTGGAGGCTGAGGCAAGAGGATAGAACTCATTTCTAAGAACACCATAGGAATAAGCCAACAGATTTTTGCTATTTAATGTTCTCTTACAAGAATCAATATTAAAAGATAATTCTAGTTTAGCACTATTTATGATCATTGGCATTTCCTTTCATATCCACATGTGGTTGAATGTTTAGTTAAACTATCTTGAATTCAAGCTTCACATATAGATAGGAATACGGAGCTGGAGAGATGGCTCTATAGTTAAGAGCACTGGCTGCTCTTCCAGAGGACCTGTGTTTGGTTCCCAGCACCCACAAGGTGGCTCACAATCATGTCCAGGTATACAATGCCACCTTCTGGCCTCTGCAGGCACCAGGCATGCAGGTGATACACAGACATACACACAGGCAAAGCACTCATACACATAAAATAAAAAGCAAATAAAGTTTTAGAATACAATTAATAAAAACTCCTAAGAATGATTACTTACTCAGGTACCAAAGAGGCTCGTAACATGGTTGCGGCCTGAGGGAGGGCAGGAGCAAAGAGACGGTGTTAAACACTGACGCGAGGCACTCACTAACCCGCCCCGTCCAACGGCCACAGGCAGCATCTGCAAAGTGCTTGGTGCCGCAGTGTCCTCCAGGCCAGCCTGGCCTACAGAGGGAGCTCCAGGCCAGCCTGGCCTACAGAGGGAGCTCCAGGACAGCCAGGGCCACACAGAGAAACCCTGTCTTAGAAAAAGAAAACAGAAAACATTTACAGGGGCTGGAGAGATGGCTTAGTGGTTAGGAGCACTGACTGCTCTTTCAGAGGACCCAAGTTCAATTCCCAGCACCCACGTGGCAGCTCACAGCTGTCTGTAACTCCAGCTCCAGGGGATCTGGCACCCTCACATAGACATACATGCAGGCAAAACACCAATGCACATAAACAAAAAAACAAAGAAAAGAAAAACTTTACAATTCCCTTTCACCTCACCCCTTTATCCTGCCTGCAGGCCAGTTCACCGCCTCCTTTATGGACAGTCACACCGTCCCATCTAGTTTGAATGTGGGGTGCAAGTATACATCATCGTTTGTTTTTACTATGGGCATTGCCAGATTAAATATGAGGAATATAGAGGAATAAAGAAATGCAACCTGAGATATGTGTATGACAACACAAACCAAATGTAAAATAAAATTTTACATTTCTTACATTAAGAAATCTGAGTATAGACTGAACTGGTGTTGGGGATTCCTGTTGATTCTATTTATTTGTGGGTTGTGTTTATTTTTAAATCTCTGTCAGATGTGGGTATTTTATTTACTGGTGAGGCAGTGTTTGGAACGGCTTCAAAGGACTTGGAGCGAAGAGGGTAGGCACAGCTGAATGGCAGAGCGTTTGCCTAGCACCCTCAGTTTGCAAAGAAAAGGGAAGAAAAGAGGAGGGCGGAGTAAAGCAGACCTGAGAGAGAAAAACTAAACAGAGGAAAGAAAGGAAGCAAGTCTATCAAATGTCATCAGTTCCTGAAGCCAGAGAGGGACACAGCGGGACTCTGTCTCCTTAGGAGCTTTTGAAAATATGTCATTTGTTCCCAACACTGGGCATCCAGAGACACCAGTCAGCACTTGACGAATGTATGAGGACTGACTCCCAAGAGTGACTCCAGAGCCCCCACGGATACTAAGGAAGTGGTCTTGGCAAGGACCCTGGTTCTGACTGCTTCCCTCTGCCAAGTTTACAGACCACAGATCCTACCTTGTAGACATCAAGCCCCCCCCTCTCCTCTCTCTCTCTCTCTCTCTCTCTCTCTCTCTCTCTCTCTCTCTCTCTCTCTCCTCTCTCTCTCTCTCTTTCTCTCTCTCTCTTTCTCTCTCTCTCTCTGCCTCTCTCTCTTCTTTTTCTTTATCTCTCTCTCTTTCCTTCCTTCTTTTTCTTTTCTTTTCCTCAGAGACAGGGTTCCTCTATATAGCCTTGGCTGTTCTAGAACTCACTTTGTAGACCAGGCTGGCCTAGAACTCAGAGATGCCTCCAAGTGCTGGAATTAAGGGTGTGCGCCATCACCGCCTGGCCAAGCCTCACTTCTAAATGCCTCATGACTATGTATGTGTTCACAGTTTTTGTGGTGCTAGGAGGTCTGAACCCAGAGCCTTGCAAGCACTAGGCAAGCAGGCTACTCTATTCTCCCAGAAGTTTTCACATTTTAATCCTTGGCTGTCTTGATCAAATAAGTTACCTATTCCTATTATTAGCTTACTAAGCCGTTCAGAAACAAGTCTGAGATCATCTACTCACCTAACATCATCTCACACATTAAAAACAGCAGGATAGTGGGTCAAATGAGGATATGGAGCTGCTAAATGTTAGTATACACACCAATACAAATCTCTAAGAATCACTAAAAACAGCCATTCCTAGCTCCTCAGTGAAACTCATCACTCCCTATAAGAGGTCTTCTACCTCACCAGCCACTTTTGTGCCTCCTACCTTTCCCTGGCTACACCTCTCCCCTCTCCACATCCTTTCTCCTTCCTTTCCCCCGCAGCTGTGACTATGTGCCCAGTGAGAAGGACCCCAGCACAGCTCTCTGCCCTTACCTCTTCGAACCTTCCTCTGGTACAACTAAGTGCTCTCCAGCCTCTGCACCGGGTGTGGAGTGCGTCCCTCCCCAGCAGTCCCCACTGGGTGAGTCTGCCCTTAGAGAACACGTGCTGGGGTCTGCAGATGCTGTTGGCTGTTGCTCCTCTGTTGTATACAGGGACTTACGTGATTTTCTGGGTTGTTTTTTAAACTGAGTCTCATGTAGCCCAGGCTAGACTCAGACATAAACAAGAATGCCTTCAAACCTTTGATCCTCCTGCCTCACATCCTGGAGTATTGGGACTTCAGGTACCCACCACTCCCCTGGTTTTCCACGGTGTGTGGAAGGGAGCCCAAGGCTTCATGCAAGCTAAGCATGTACTCTACCGACTGAGCCTCACCTAGCGTCACGGCCTCACGAGCGTGTTAACCATCTCACTGTCTGCTAACTACCAGCCGGGCATACAGCAGTCAAATCTCTTCTGATGCGAGCTAAATGACTCCAGACTTGACACTCCATCCACGAGACACAGGCAGTACCCACCTGGAGAGGCCAGTGAGAGCAACACTGTGGGTTGCATAGTCTCTTCTTCCCCAGCGGCCTGCGCCACGCCCCTCCTCCACTGGGGGTTCTCAGTGTAACAACTCCAGGCTGGCCTCTACACTGACACCTGGGGGTGGCCCTCTCAAGGTAAGGGGACTTCAAAGAAGCTCTACTTCTTTCCTTCCTGTAGGTTTTGAGACAAGACCTCACATAACCCAGGCTGGCTTCAAAGTCACTATTTAACTGAGAAGGGCCTTGAGCTTCCGGTCCTCCTGAACGCTGGGACTGCGGGTATGAGCCACCACTCCTGGTTCGGTGCTGGTGACTGAACCCAAGGCTTCACTCCGGCCGAGCCATATCCCAGCCCCAGAAGTCTTGGTCATCACACACAAACACCAAGGAGGCTTTCTGAACTTCTGCTGAGCCACCCAGGACATGCACTGGATCTCTAAGGTATCCGCTGCAGGCTCTCAAGCCAGTTATGAGCACAGCTCCTGTGGCCTGCATTTGAGTCACTGTCCCATGGCTGTGGGTACTGCAGTGTGGGGACATGCAGAGCCCACCAACTGGCAGGGGACACAGCCCCAGCAGGAGAAAATCTATCACAGTCACAACTAAGCCCTCCACTGAGGCAAGTGGAGGTTTTGTTTGTTTGCTTGCTTTTTGAGACAGGGTTCTGTGTAGCCCTGGCTGTCCTAGAACTCACTATGTAGACCAGGTTGGCCTTGAACTCAAAGATCCACCTTCCTCTGCCTCCCAAGTGCTGGGACTAAAGGTGTGTGCCCCCACTGCCTGACCCAACAGCAGATTCCTAATGCTGAAGGAGCAAGCCCCAGAAAGGATGTCCTTGTTACGGAGGCCTGATTCTGTCCTAGAGGGTGCTATTTGATTTCTAGGACTCCATCCTGAGACAGGAAAAGGGCCACCACAGCCAAGGATGAGACTCAGATGGCAGACAGTGTTCCCAAGCTCCCTAAACAGCTAGTTGGTGGAGTCCACCGAAGAAGCCCTGAAGGAATGCTAGGACAGAGAGAGGACACAGGAGAGCAAGCCGTAAACCAAGGTGTCAATTACTGAGTCTGCTCAGTGAAAGCTCCTGGGATTCTTAGATGTGGAGACAAAGGTGTACACAAGCCAAGGTGAAAATGTGACACCTTCCTCTTTCCTCAGACACAGGAAGCCCCCGAGTCCTGCCTTTCCAGCAGCTGTGGCCTAAGGCCTGGTGTCCAGGAGGTGAGGACCAGCTGCAGGCCTGAGACAACTGATGGGAACAACCTGAGGACCTGTGGGGTCAGGCTGTGAAGTGTCTCTGGAGAGCTCAGTTCAGGTGTGACATCAAGGACAGTACTCCTAGGGGCAGTTCAGGAGGGACATGTGAGCACAAGAAAGGCTGGAAGAGCTGGGCGGTGGTGGCACATGCCTGTAATTCCAACACTCAGAAGGCAGAGGCAGACGGATCTGTGAGTTCGAGGCTAGCCTGAGCTATAGAGTGAGTTCCAGGACAGCCAAAGCTACACAGTGAAACCCTATCTCAAAAAAACACAAAGAAAAGAAAAAGAGAGGCCAGAAGGAAGAGGTGCCTGGCCCAGCCAGGAGTAGGACAGGAGGGCAGCGTGACCCCCAGCAGCATGTGCCTAGAAAACAGAGGGGCCGCTAAAGCCTTCAGGCCAGGCCCGTTCCTGCCATGCCTCGGCTATGCTCAAGTGCACATGAACAAGGACTGTGGACCCTCCTGAGGAAACTTCCAGAGAGGCTCAGGAAAGAGCGGGACACACAAGGCCTCAGCCTGCAGCTGGGGGAGCATCCTTGGGGACTGTGTAACCTGAAGAGAGTGTGGACACAAAGAGAACCACAGCCGGGTGGCGGCAGAGGCGCACACCTTTAGTCCCAGCACTCGGGAGGCAGAGCCAGGAGGAGGATCTCTGTGAGTTCGAGGCCAGCCTGGGCTACAGAGTAAGTTCCAGGACAGGCACCAAAACTACACAGAGAAACCCTGTCTCAGGTGGGGATGGGATGGGGTGGGGGTGGGGCACGACACAGAAAGAGACCCACTTTGCCCTGAAGACAGTCATTGAACAAAGGGGTAATGTGACTGCTACCGCTGAGACACCTGAATCCTACAGACACACCCAGAAAGCTGAGTGACCAGCATGACAGAGGAGGCCCTGGCTCAGAGCCAGGAGAGAACTCGGGGCAGTCTCAACAACTCCAAGCAACTAACACAGCAGAGAGGGGTCACTCTGCCAGATCCCGATGACCAGGGCACATGGGTGACCTCCAGGTGCTTTCTGGAATGTCATTCTCCGCAACAGGCAACAGGGCAGAGTGGATGGTGGGCACACAAAACGTTTGTGGAAGGAGTCTGGAAGCCTATGTCTGGAGCTGGGGAAGGAAGGTCAGATCTAACAGCCAATAA